GGGGCGGGGTTGAGGAGGGGGAGGAGTGAGTGGGGATGAGATACCGGTAGATGGCACCGGTAGATGGCAGGGGGCGAGGAGGCGGGAGCGGGGCCCGTTTGCTTGCAAAGGGCAGTTGCCTGTCGGGCGGAACAGGCTTGAGTTCTCTCTTTACGTACCCCACCCCACGCCCCCAACAACACCCCTTCCATCCTCCGTCCCTCCTCCTCCTCTCACCTATCCGGTCGGTGGGGTGATGTCCTCCACGTACCGCACCTTGAAGCTTGGACAGCTGCTTGATCAGGTTGGCCTGGGAGGGCGGGAGGGGAATGGGGGGGGGAGGCGGGAGCAGTTGGGGGGAGCGGGGGCGAGGGAGCTTACGATGCATGCGACCTCAAGACGTCCGCCTCGCGTGCCGCGAGTGCCACTGCCCTAACAAGCGTTGTATGTGCGGGCCAGGCTTCTAGGAGCGGTTGGGTGGGGTGACACAGCCGCTGCTCCCGGCTGCTCACTCCTCCTTCCCCACACCCCTGACCCCTCTTCTTTTCCTGCAGCCCTTTCCGCTCTGCCCTCCGCAACCCCGATATCTTTCCTTCCTCCCCAAAGGCCCTTCCCCCTCCCGCCACGTACCACGGTAGCTGCCTTGCCCGCAACCACCACCGTGAAGAGGGCCTTATCGACCGTGAGCCCCACAGCCAGAGACTCGATGTTGGCACCTGCGAACCCAGCCAAAGTGCGTTCCTGATGCGTTCCCAAAAAGGACGTTTGTCCGTATACGCGCTAGCCCCGCTTGTCGGATGGCTAGCGTGAGGATTGCGAGCGATTGGCCCGCGTACCTCGCCGGGCGAACACTCCAGCGACGCGGTTAATAAGACCGGGCTCATCAGCGACAAAAATAGAAATGATGTGCTTCTCCACACCCTCCTCAAGGGGCTTGGGCTCCACGACGTAAACGTCGCCACCGGTGCGCCGTCGGCGATCGGTCAAGAAAGGCCCAGATGTGCCAAAGCGATCAGTTTAACTTACCAGGTTTGGTGTAATCCCAGCGACACGTGCCTGCGGAGGACGGGAGTTTCGGCGCTGAGGCATAGGAAAATAACCACTGCTGCGCCATGCTATTTTACCCGAACGTTTGCGGCCCGCTTCGCCTGTGGTGAGGCCGTCCCAGTCGTCCATCGCGAAATTGGTCGCCCATTGATAGAGCGTGCAAAACGGACACCCTTGCGACAGGCGCCGTGCTGCGTGTATTCAATGCGCCTCCGTAAGCACGATTGCTCCAAGCTTGTTCTCAGAACGAATGCAACAGGCCCTACCGCTTGCAAGCTTCTCCTTTGATAACAACATGTCGTAAGAACTACCGTTCCTAGCAGTGTCACAAGTATAGGATGTGTCTGCGTCGGCAACTCCGAACTTAAACAGTCTATATTATGTCCTTAGAGTCGCTTCATATAAGTGTTACTGTATAATGCGCTGATTGTTGTTGTCGCTTTTGGCGATGCAGCCAAACTGCTTCATCGCTTTAGTAGTACCATGAACTGAATCTCAGCTCGCTGCCCCCATTACTTGGTATGTTTACTTGGTATAAACATGCTGCATTGTCACTATATTGACAATAGGCCAGGACCTGGGGCGGTAACACTACTGGTCTTCCGCGCATCGTCATGTTCACTACCTAGACATCCGAAGACTTCGGGCGCGCATAATCCGCAAATCCTTGTCATTTTCCATGAAAGAACTCTCCAGCTTGCCGCAACAACAACACCTACGATGGGAGCCAGTGGGAATTCTCATGGACCATGGGCCATACGGCAGAAGGCTGCTGCAGTCACTTGACGCGTTCATGGTCCGCTATACAGCACATATCACAACCATGCGACAAACAACGGCCGCCTAGTCAATTAATCTCCTTCTCCGCAGCAACTACCGTCCCACGGCATTAACGTAACTATTTCCTATATAATCTAATAGCCACTGGCCAGCCTTCCGTACGCATACACGTCAGGTAGGGCAACAAAGTACCAAACGACAGCTTTAGTTGTATATAACCGGGGCCACACTACTGCAGATCCCATGTGTGCGAGTCCGATGGCACTTACAATTACTACCGGTAGCAACACAGCAAAACCCGCGCCTGTGCCTCGCACGTAAGACATGCCATTACAGGTAGGACATACATACCAGCGGCCGCAGCTATCGCGCACAGCTACATCGTTAGAACCGACATACCAATAGGTTTCCATTAGAAAACAAACGGTGCAGGGGGGCAAAGTAAGTACCCACTGCCATTGCGACGGATACCTGGCACGATTTAGGTCTTCAGTCAGCTCCCATGCACGCATTGCATGCACGGGAGAACGGGAGAAGATTAGCTGGCCAAGCGGGCAAAGGCCTAATAAGCCTTATAGCCGACACTTGAACCGCCAACTGCGCAGAGGGTGCATTGCTTATACCCGCGGGCCAGCAGCGACAGGGGTCTTCCGCACAAATGAAGGCTAGGAAAACGGACAGAACGCAGCTGCATAACAGCCTTATGATTCGTAAGATACAACACAAAACGCTTTATAAAAGCTCCTATCCACTCCAGGTAAGCAACCACAGCCAACTGGTGTCTCTGGCAGGAGTTGCCCCTTCCGCAGAAGGGCCCCTTTGCGTTGAAGTGGTGTCATACCTTACTTGGTCGTACGTCGCTGCCGTCGATACAGCGCGATGACAGTAGCGGATTAAACCTCTCGCGTGTTTCTGAGAACACTTCAACATGGATAACGTCTGCAGGCAAAGCCCCGATAGCAGGGGCACACAAGCTGGCTGGACGGCAAGCTGAGATATACTCAATGAACATGGCAGCGGCAATGAACACTACTTAGCCTGACAGCAATTAACAAATAAAATCCTGAAAATAGGCTGAACTCGAACCAACTTTCTAGGCTTAACGCATGACGTCCATACATGCATATAAGACATGTTCCATGCTCAACTAAACACCAGCCGTTAACACCCGCTTGGGAGCCCTCAGACGGCCCGGCGGTCACATCCGACTGCTGTCCGCCCTCTGCTGCCATGGTGCTACATACCCCTTGGCTGGTGCGCGTACGCGCATATGTCCTCGTGTACCCAGCGCATGGCCATGATCCGCCCGAAGCCTTTCGGGTTCAACAGGTAAAGCAACCATCCGTACGACAACACCGTGTTATGTGATAGCAGTTTTGCTCTCTGAAATTAGCCTATAGGGCTACACTTTAACCACGCTAACAAAATACGGTCAGGGTCCAACTCACACACGTCAACCATACCAGGACTTGTATTTTTGTGCACACGTCAACCATACCAAGACTCGTTTTTGTGTTGTCGACCAAGTCGCACAGGTAAGCACAGCAGTTGAATACGTACCAGAGCTAGGCGAGCCCTGCCTGCTTTTGCTGTAGAGTGCCGTACATTAGACATCCCCCACCTGCCGTACATTGCCGTACACAGGAGAGTTAGTTACCATATAACCCCTCGTTCCATGCCATACATTCCCCATTTCGCCAGCCTCCGCCTCCCAGCCGCGATAGGGCTTCCGAAGCCGCTTCACCAGGTCCCCACGAATTCCCTTCGGATCAGCAAGTGCACGGACGACAGGTGCATGGAAGCACGTAGGTCACGTCCCGCATGTGGCACATGTACGTGTTTCTAGTTGAACTGACAGCAACAACGCCCTTCCAGCCACCCATCCGGCTGTGCTAGGATCCACCCATCCATTTCATCCATGCTGTCGGTGCATAGGGTGCTAGGATCCACCCAACCACCTTCCGTCACCCCATTTCGACTCCCCTGTCCAATCCGGAGCGCCTTCACGTGTCGCAGAACGTGTCCAGCAGCCAGCCTGGCCATCCTGGCAAACTCCTGCATACAATTCTAATGACGCTTATAACGTGACGCTAAAGCTTAACTGTCTTCCTGTGCGCCTCCCCAGCTCGAACGCCCACGCCGTGCATGGAAGCCAAGAATTGTACGACAACCACCGCCAACCACCCGGCAACCACCGCCGCCAGAACCGTTGCCAACCCGTTCATGGCAAGCCAAACCGCCGCAGCCAGCAACAGCAGCCACACCTCCACCGGGTCGAATGCAAACAACCGCCCTTCTCGCATCCGAACCAGCGAAAGTACGGAACCATAACCCGAGTTCGCTCCCGCTGTTCCTGCCGTTGCTGCCGCTGCTGAAGTGCTTCCTCTCTTCTCAAAGCCCCCAACCACAGCATCCTCCGGATATACGTTCTGGTTGTACGATGGCGGGCACGGAAAATACGGCAGTCGCCACGGCTGCTGTTGTTGCATGTCTGCTGTGGAGTGTGTACGGCACTGTCGGAAGGAGTGCCGTACGGATCCGATTCCGTCGCTTGCCATGAAGGACGCAGTTCTCGTCCCGCGCTGCGACGGCGACGTAAGTCACGTAAGGCCTCCAGCTGCGCTAACGGTCGTACGGCAGTAGCTGCACCAGCTGCCGTACTAGCAGTAGTTTGTAGCAGTTGACGGCGCAGGCTCCATCTCGTCAGCACTGAACCGGCGGCTACCGCTGCTGCTGTCGCTAATGTTGGCGGCTGAGTCAGGCGTCGCTGCGGCCTCCTCTTCTTCCTCCTCATTGTACGGTGTGATCTCGCAACCAGTGTAGCCGCCGCCGCTAACGCCGGCAGTAGCATCAGCACTAGTGTTGGCAACGCCTAAGGTTGGAAGACCCGTAGAGCCTTCAGTACCGCCGGGCGGTGGCAGATCCTCCCTGAGGTACGACGACGACGACGGCTGCGGTGGCGGCGGCGGTGGCGGCGGCGGTGGCAGCGGCGAGGCCTGCAGCGCTCCTCCGACCGCCGCTGTCAGGAGCTGCCGTACGTCCGCCGCCGCCCCTCCAGCCCACACTCGTCCAGGAAGGGCTAGCACGGAATCAGCCAGCAGGCTCAGCGGACCGCCGCCGCCGCCGCCGCCGCCGCCGCCGCTGCCGCTGCCGCTGCCGTCGGTGGTGACGTCAGATCGACCATTGCCGTACATGCCTCCTCCGCCGCCGCCAGCGCTACTGCCAGAGTATGTTACCGTGGCCGCGCTGCGCCCTTGTACGAGAGCATGGCAGCTGGTGATGAGGTGGGCGGCGTCGTTTGCGAATGGCAGGAAGTGGTCTTGGAAGGCGACGGCGCGGGCCGTACCTGCGTCGCCGTACGACGGAAGAGCACTGTCGCCGTCTTCGTCGCTGCCGCCGTCATTCGTACGCATTAGCAACCAAAGGCGCTGTAGCTCTGACGTCATGTTGTCGTACAGGCCGCAAATCTCTTCGGCTGCCGCCGTCGACGGCAGCACCAGCAGCGGCAGCGTCGCCAGCGGGCGGGGACGGCGCTGTGGGGTGGTGGGAGACGTTGTCACGGCCGCAGGAAGAAGCAGCGGTGGCGGCGGAGACAGGAGCGGTGGCGGTGTTGTCGGCGCCCGGCGAGGGCAGGAGGTGAAGGTACACGACGCCCGGGTGGACTGGGCGAGGCAGACGGATCCTGCGAGCGTCGGGAAGAAAGGAAGTGTCGCGAATCGGCATTCAGGATCATCCTCATCGGAACAACGCACAGTGCGCATCCAACACCAGAGTACCGCCTCCCTAGCCCTCTCCATCGCCACCTAACATGACTGTTCCTTTCAGACACTGCATAAGGGCTAGCCCTCACCCCATGTTCCCAGCAAAACTTACTGGAAGATGAACCAGCTGCTGCTGTTACCGCAACCAAAGCAGATCGGGACGTCTGGATCGCCGCCATCACCCTCGCTTGCAAAGCTGCCACCGCCAATCCCGCCACAGTCACCACTGTCACCACTGTCACCACAGTCACCACTGTCGGCGTTAACGCTACCGAAGTCACCAAATGGCGGCGGCGAGCTGTACGGCACCTCCACCAGCTCGTCCAGCACAACTCCGCCGCACGTGCCAACGGCTACAATCCGTACGACAGCGGGAGAGAGATCATGCCGTACGGCACCCTCTTGCGGGTCCGGCGGTGTGCCGTACAATGGGCGCCCCTGTAGCTGCTGCTGCTGCCGTTGTACAAGCTCCGGCAAGATGGCCACTTGGACCTCCACATAGCCATTCTCTGCAGCTGCTGCTTCAACCGATGTTTCCTTGCTGCTTCTTCCATCTCCACTTCCAGCACGTACCCCAGCACCCTCGGGGGTCCTGCAGGACACAGCCACAGGGCTCAGCCAGGCGCCGCCCTCCCCTTCTGCGGCTGCTGCTCCTGCGCTCCGAGGTGCAGCAGCAGCACCAGTAGTAGCGGCGGTACTGGGTGGCTGACGACAGCCCGGATCCGTACTCTAAGGACCTTCGTCGTACAGCGGCAGGGTCGGGTTGATGCCTCGGCTGTGCTGGCCGCGATGCCGGGAGTGCTGCTGGTGGCCGAGGTGGCGTCGGTGTTCCCGCTCCTGGCGAGTCCAAGTGTGGATGAGGTCAGGTAGCGATGAGGCCAGGGCGTCCATGTCATCGACCTCCGCATGGAAAAGGAGCTGAGGCGGCGGTGACGGTGACGGTGGCGGCGGCGGCGTCAGCGGCAGCAGAGCTTCCCGGGATCCGGAAGCCGCAGTTGTTGCAATGGGGCTGTGGCGGCGGGGGCAGGGGCGATTGGAGTCGAAGGGATCGGCCGCTGAAGGAGGAGGCGTGGAGCCCGTGGGTCGCAGCCCTGGATGCTGCTGACCACGCTCAGCAAGTGTACGCAGCCCTCCACAACCACACTGCGTGCCAGGGACATGTACGGCAGGGAAGTGATGTACGGCACGGGAAGCGACGGTGCTGGCGACGGCTGCTGCTGAACTCCATTGCTGACGCCGGTGGCTGCGGAGGCGCCGTTAGGACTAACCGCCACAGTTGAAACGCCACCAGCCGACGGTGGCTCAGGAAGCCGGCCACCGGCAAGCGGGGCCTGTACGGCAGCGCCAGGGGAGGCGGTAGCTTCCGTACTGCCGGCCGGCGCCGCCAGCAACGCGTTAAAGGCATTCGCAACGTTCGCCGCCGCCGTAGCGAACGGTTGACCGTTATGGTTGTGAACCTTGTAACTTACAAACCGTGTCGTCGTCAGGGCCTTGTACGACAGGACGCTACTCGGCGTTACGCCGCCAGCTCCCGCCACCGCCGCCATCGTCGTCGCTAGCGGCAGCGCCTTCTGTACGGCAGCAGCCGCCGTCGCCGCCGTCGGCGCCGCCGCGGCGGGCACTGGTCGGCCGACGAGCGTGCCCCTCAGAACTGCCGATGGGGCTCGACCCAGCGGCGGCGGCGAAAGCAATACGTTGAGTGGCGCCGCCGCGGAACCGCTGGCGGCGGACGCGGCGGCGACGAAAGGCGATTCCGGCGCCTCGCAATAGAGCCATGAAGCGTCACGAAGGATGCCCAATGGATGCTGTGGCTGCTGTGGCTGCTGTGGTGGCGGGCCAGAGACCGGTGTGCAGGGAGCTTGAGGCAGTGGTGGAGGCGACGTAGCCCTAGTAGTAGCTCCTCCGATGGGTGCCTTTTCGCCGTTTCCTAGGTCCTCAGTGCCTGCAGGCGTTACCCTGGTGCAACCGACGTCTGCCATGCTGTCGCCGCCGCCACCTGCTGAGAAAGCTTCATCGGCGTCCTCCTTGACAAGCCCTTCCTCAGGGGCCGCTCCGCTGCCGTCGCCGTCACCGTTGGCACCATCGTCACCACACTCGCCCGCTCCTTCTCCTCGCCTGCTCCATCCGCACGATCCTCCACCCTCGCCGTCGGCCCCGTCGGGAACTCTAGATCCGCCGTCAGCGATTTGACCGGCCGCAAAGCCATCATTGCCGCCGCCGCCGCGGTTGCCGTACCGCGACGGCCCGACGCCTCCGTCGTCGCCACGTCCACCAGGCCCCCAGGCCATGTCCGCAGACCTCCCGAGCCGACACCTGACAGGCCCCGCTGTACAGCGCCGCTTACGTCACCTGCTGCCGCTGCTGGCGCCGCCGGCGAGTGTGATTGTGCCGCGGCCGCCGGCGGCGGCGGCGCCATATCGTAGCCGCTTCCGGCGGCATCGCAGCCTCCACTGCCCAGGGACTTTGCGATGAGTTCCGGAAACGCAAGCTGGCGAGTTTGAGCCTGAGGTGCGCTGCTGGCAGCACCGCACCCCACGGACGTCCTGTTCAGGCCGCTGCCGTTGCCGCCGTCACGTGAGGTATGCCTGTTGCTTGTCGTACAATTGGTACGATCGGGAGAGTCTGATGGCGAAGATGATTGCGAAAGGCCGTGCATGTCGTCCACTGCGACGTCCACCGGATGCGGTTCCCCCGGCACCGATTCGTCCGCTGCTTTGCAATACGGCACCTCATCAGGGGTTGTACGACTTCGTACCGCGCATCCTTGCAGGCCGCCAACAGCTGCACCTCCGCCGCCACCGCCCTGGTCCTCGTCAACCGCCGCCGCCGCAGCAGCCGCAAAAGCCGAGGCTGCAGCGGCCTGAAAGGGGCTAGCGGACGCTGACGGCGATGCTGACGGGGCAGGCGGCGGTTCCGTACAAGGCGGTTCCGTACCGTACCGCCTGTCCTCAGCATCGCCGCCGCCACCGCCGTCACCTCCGCTGCTGCCGTCGCCGCCTCCGAGCTCCCGCAGCCCCTTCGTCGGGGCAGCTGAAGTGGGCCTAACGGCGGTGGCAGTGGTGGTGGGGCCAGCGGCCGCAGCCGCAGCCGCGGTTCCCGTGGCTGTAATGCGCAGCCTTGGAGATGCGGGTGATGGTCCCCGTAGCTCGATTCGAAGAAAACGTATACGAAGTATGCGGTTTCAGAGGAGCGAAGCGAAGGGATGCATACCCCGTTCCCGTCACGCTCAACGGGATCCTTTCAGCGCTCTTGTTCACGGCTCGGCCTTCACTTTGAACCGTCCAGCGTGGCGCGCTTTTGCTGTCACGCTCTTTGATACGGAATCTTACCAGATTTTCAACGGCCGGCCAACTCTTCGTGCGTCGCTCGTGTCGTTGCTTGTGAAGTTTGTTCGATTTGTGAAGTCTACTACGGCTATATTGCGTAGCCAGCGTGGCTTCACCGCGCTTCGATTTCGCGAGGAAAACCACGCCGCTTCACAACCCACCTACGAAGATGTTTTAGATAGACGTCTAAATAAGCGTATAAGAAAGCGCGTAAAACCAATTTATAACGGTGCACAAGCCACGCCACGTGCGGCGAGGCTAACGAAAGTACTTCCTTGCCTGGAAAGTAGTCCTAGCAGAGCCTTTGGCTTGCTGCTGCTGTCTTTGTTTCGTTGTTTGGTATAGAGCTACCGCTTTCCGAGCTGGGCACCATGGGAAAGGATGATCAAGGTGTGTGTGGCGAGCGCATGACGTTCGGTATATTCTGGCGCTGTACCAGCCTTTCCCTTGGGCGTGTCGCAGGCGCGGGTGACCCGCTCGACAACGTGCTCTACTGCAGCGGCTTACGTCGGCTCAGCGTGTGGCCGTGGTTCAAAGCAGTTGCCAGCTTGTTGCTGACCGAGCGTCAAGGTTCCGTTTATGCGGTTCTATGCTTCCCTGGGCTTTTGTCGGAATTCGTTCAGCGGGTCGTCGATCGTTTGCGTGGGTTCGGGCATACAGTGCCTGAGGTAGCTACTTACATGCTGGAGCTTGGGACGTACATACTTGAGCACGGCTTACTGGATCGAGTACGCCAGAGGAGTGACAGCGAGTATGTCGTTGCTACGCTGTGCGCTCGGTATGCTGTTGCTGCTTGTCACCTTCCTCCTAACGCACTCGCTTCGGTGCGATGGCAGCTCCAGCTGGGGGATCCAGACGTGGTGCGGCAACAGGACCTCATGCGGGCAGATGCTGTTGCTGTTGCGTTGTACCAGACTATCGCTCGTCTGCAACAGGAGCAAGCACAACAGCGAGGGCATCTGCCGAGCGCTGGTGTGCAGCGTACAGTCGCAGGAGGAGGTAGCTCGGGGCAGGCGGGTTTGTGCGGTACGGCTGCGGGGGTCGGCGGAGGCTCCAGGCTAGGGGCCTCGGCTGCGGCTGGCTTGGGCCTCGGTCTTTGGGCGCCGCTGCCTGGTTGGGGCTTGGGCCTAGCGGCTCTGGCGGGGACGGTGGGACTCCCGGTGGGCTTCGGCCTAGCGGCTCCGGTGGGGACGGTGGGACTCCCCGCCGCGGCGCAGCCTGGTTGGGGCTTGGGCCTAGCGGCTCCGGCGGGGACGGTGGGACTCCCCGCCGCGGCGCAGCCTGGTTGGGGCTTGGGCCTAGCGGCTCCGGCGGGGACGGTGGGACTCCCGGCGGGCTTCGGCCTGCTTCGGTGGGAATTCCCGCAGTGGCGCCAGCAGCGGCAGCAGCAGCAGCGCCGGCGGCAGCAGTGGGAGGGCTGGGATTGGGGCATGGGCGTTCCACTGCGCTGCATGTACAGCAGAACGACCTTTTGGGTGCACCAGCAGCGGCATCGGCTGCAGCCAGGCAGGCGCGCAGACGTGACAATGCAGCGTGTAGGCTTCAGCGGAGGCAACTGATGGCAGCAGCTAGGCAAGCTTGCCAGCGTAAGCGTTCTTGCCAGACTCCGTATACAAAAGCGCAAGACCAATTGGCACAGCCACTTCTGTCTCACTCACGGTTCTCTCTGGGGTCCAATGGCACTGTCACACCGTCCGTACAAGCCCGCGGATCCTTGGCGCTTTCTGCCCGCCAGCACAACGTGACTACCTAACCACTCCCTCTTTCTACACAATAAACTACATAATCAGACGCTTCCTCCCCGTTTTAATCAATCGCTTCCCCCCATTCTTACACGCCCCGCTATACCGCAACACCTTACCATCCGCTAACAGCACCCGGCCATGTTCTACGGCGTTTACACCGCCGTGGTGGGCATGGCCCTCCACCTGCTCTTCCTCACTCTAACCATCGCATACACCGTCGCGGACTATGCCTTCTTTAGGTGGCTCCGCGCGCTGGAGCCCAACCTCAACCGCCACCTGGAGGACAAGGTCAAGGACGATCTGCTCATTCGCGCAAGCGCTCCCGAGCACCGCCTACGCGCACCGCTCTTCCCCTTGAGCACCGCCATAGAGCAACAGCGCCTCATCGCCAACTATACGCATATCGCAACTGCCTTCGCCGCTCTCCGTCACTACGTTCTCCGCGCACCTGCAAACACACCCGCACCCCAACAATTCGCCAACAACCGCAACGTGGTCAACCCCCGCGACGTGGAAGGTAAACCTGGAAAGACAGGAGGATGCAGCCACCTCGGAGTGGGTTTTTAGGGGCGTCGGCGTGTTTTGGTGGTCGGTCGTTTGGGGGTGGGAGTGGATTTTGTGGTCACCTTCACTCGCTCGTCGTCACCTTCACGTCCGGCTATAATTCTTCAAGGTTGGGCCAACCTCTCATTTTCCCGTCGCAACCCTTACCACCTCCGCAGGCCGCCTCGGCTGCCTGACCAATGGCCTCATCCCACGCTGCTGCGAGCGTTCCCTGCCACCCTCGCGCTTGCAGGAAGCGCCGCGCTCTATGCAGTCCTCCAGGTACAGTTATCGCCGAAGACATGGGGGCCGCACCACCTTAAAATTCCTCATTACTCCCACTTGGTCCTTGCCTCTTCACCTCCCTTTCCACCTGCACCTTGCTCTATTCGCTCTGTCCCATCTGCCCCATCAAACCGCTTATTCACCCCCTCCTCTAATTCCTTCCACCAACCCCTCAGATCCCCCTGGAAGCCATCACCCCCAACCTCGTACACGACTACGACATCTACGTCATTGCTCCCACCGCAGCCGCTGGCTTCACGATCCTTCGCAACGCCATCCACCTCCTCACCATGCTGCAAGACGTCCATATCCTGCGCATCATCGACACCGAGCGCGCCACGACCGTCGTGTGCGACGTCACCATTGGCAACCGCACCACCCACCAACGCGTTCAATTCAACAAGCGCGTCCGCCCCAACACAAGCGTAAGTCCGCAAGTTATGGCAAGGTGGAAGAGGCACAACACGCGACAGGGCACGTCACCAATTCTATTGACCCCAAAGCTTGTTGGGGTGTGGGGTTGGGGGGTTAGCACGGTGTGTCGGTGGTGTTCGGGCGGATGGTTCAGGTGGGCTTTTTGGCGTCGGCGGGAGTCTTTGATGGATGGTATGTTTGGGGTTGTGTTTCTGGTCGGGGTGTGGTAGGTATTCGTGGTTTCCGGTTCTGTTGCTGAGCGGGGTGCTGACTTGGGCGCCGAATGCTGGTTTTTTACCCCCCCCCCCCCGAGTTAGTGCCTTATTTGTACGTCAACGCAGCCAAACTAATACCCTTATACCTCCACACTCCCGCTCGCACCCTCCCTCTACCTTTACCCCATCCGCAGATGCCATCGTCACAGCCTATGACCTCTCCGTAGTCCATGCTTGCCGTCCTCCTCGACGACCCGGCCAGACCCGGACCTCACAACGTACTGCCACACCCTCTGGTTCTACTCGCTAATTGTCGGCGCCGCCATTTCCATCCCCAGCCAATTCTCCCCTCCGCCGGGCGTCTAAGTACCACGCCCGCGGCTTTCCCCTATGGATCACCCGCTACCACCCGTGGTATACCTCTCCAACGGCCGCATCCAGTGCCCGCCTACCGAGCTCGCATCGGCGGGCGGCAACCTCTTCGTCATCGCCTACGACGACTTCGCCGCCTTCATGCGGTGCACGGGCGCGCAGCTCCGCTCCCTGGTCAGCCGCGCCACCAGCATGGCGTCCACTGAATGGCGTGACCCCGGCAGCACACTCTCCGCCACCGAATGGAGCCGCCTGCACCCGCACCTGCACCGCGCCCAGCTGGACGACGATGCCCACGTGAGTCCACAACTGAGCGATTTAGGACTCTCTTGCGGAAAACGCATCCTCGTGTTCTTATCTTGTCTCCTTGCTATCTTCTCCCAGACAACTCCGACCCGACCACTCCTCCACTATCCATCCCACCCACAGGTGCTCCACACCAAGTGGAACCCCGCCGCCATCCCGTGGATGGGCGAGCGCCGCAACGCCCACTGAGGGGCCGACGTTTTGGCTTTGCGGCGTAACGGTACACTTGCGCAGCACTGGGTTTGGTTGGTGTCCGTTTGCTAAGGGTTACACGGCTGGTTATATGGCACTAACTAGACTGTTTGACACCATGCCGGAGCTGTTCAGTTGTTGTTGAAAGGGGCCGACGTCTTGCTTTGCGGCGTAACGGTACGTCCACTAGATAACGACCTGCTGTACTTTTAGCAGGATAGATCCGACGGCTGGTTACGCAGCACTGGGTTTGGTTGGTGTCCGTTTTGCTAGGGGTTACACGGCTGGTCACATGGCACTAACTAAACTGTTTGGCACCATGCCGAACTGTTCAGTCGTTGTTGAAAGGGACCGACGTTTTGCTTTGCGGCGTAACGGTAACGTCCACTAGATAACGACCTGATGTACTTTTAGCATGATAGATCCGACGGCTGGTTTGCACGGCACTGGGTTTGGTTGGTGTCCGTTTTGCTAGGGGTTACACTGCTGGTCACATGGCACTAACTAGACTGTTTGTGGCACCATACCAAGCTGTTTCAGTTGTTGTTGACTTGTTGCCAGTTGCCAAAAGACTGGCGACAATTGAACCAGGTTGTACGCTTGGCAGAGAATACCTGCCGGCCGATTGTACGGAGATTGACTCCTTGTACATAACTCGCTTCCCTTGCCGAGCTACGGGTCGCTCCGCCGAAGGCGGGCCTTACTTGTGTGTTGCCACGCGTGGCGGCGGTCCTGTCGGTTGGGTTGTAACCGCCAACGGTAACCGTCCGCGTCAGCAACCTGCAGCGAAGCGCCAATGGGTTCGTTTTGACGACATACGACATTATAGAAGTATACGGACTTGAATGGGACTGGTCATATACGCCGATGTCACATAGTGGCTGACCCATGGATCGCCGCTGCACGCAACCATGACATCTAATGCGAAACACCCCCCACCTGAACTTGTTCCTCTGCGCCGCCTCCAGCCTCGCCACCAGACCACGTGGGCACCGCGCAGTGCGCCGCCAGGTGCAGCAGCAGCCAGGCGGGGCCCAGCAGCGGCGCGGCGGCGGAGGGGCCCGCCGTTGCGGCTGGTGGCCAGGTAGGCCGCCAGCACCGCCAGAGCCCACTCCAGCAGGCCGAACGGGAGCTGCAGGGACAGCGGCACCTGCGAGAGAGGGGTTACCGGCAGGACAGGAGTGGTGGGAAAGGGAGAGGGAGAGGCAGCAGGTGGACACAGAAGGCGGGAGGAGGCCAACACGTACGGCGAAGTACCCAGGAACAACGTAGTTACCAGCCGCACCCGCACCCATGACGCACCCATTACAACCGCCCTCACATCCTCCGCCCCCACATCCTCCGCCCCCACATCCTCACCCGCCCGAACGTGATTGCCTTGACCGACATGAAGAACAGCCCCGTGTTCACCCCCCGGCTGCCCGTCGACCGCGCGTACGCCGGCATGTAGTACAGGGCGGTGGTGGCGCCGATGCAGGGCGGCGTGGCGGTGGCGGCGGCGGTGACGTTTGCCGGCCATCATGGCGAGGCGCACCAGCAGCACCAGTCCGTTGCGCCAGCGGAGGTACAGGGAGGGACGAGCCTGCATGCGGAAAAATAACGTGGAAGAGTGGTTTGGAAGAGTGGCATGTCGTGCGCCGCAGTACCAGTACACCGGTACATGCAGGGAATTGCCTTGCAGTGCATATACCGGTATACCGTGTTGTCGTCCTGCTCATGCGGCTATAGACCAGCGCTCCTGGATCAATCTCCCTTGGAGGTCCCAGCAGGATTGGGCCATGCACTGGGAAATCCTGGCTGACGCATGCATGCATGCAAGACAGGCCCAACTCGAACCAACCCAACCCACCAGCATCACCGCCAGCGCCGCCGCCAGAGAGGTGATGTAGAGCCACACGGAGTCGTCACGTCGCACCGCCGCATGCAGCAGAGCGCCCGGCAGGTGCCTTTGGGGGTGGTAAGGGTAAAGGGGGGGTCAAAGACCATACCAAACCATAGGAGACCACAAGTTAGGGCAAGGGGGGGCGATAATAGAAAATGGAAGTGTGTGATCCGGGCAACCCGAGGAGCCTTGCATGACGACAGACTCATCATGCGCATGTTCTTGTCACGACATACACGCATGCAGCAGGTGGTACCTGTCGAACACACCCACTGCATGACTTGAGTAACAGATGACACCATTGACACATACGGATATAAACCTAAATACAGCGGCTGGTGAGTACGGCCCCCCGTTGTCGTATGTCGTACATACCTGGCCCTCTGTTGTCGTATGTCGTACCTACCTCAGCGTGTGAATGTACTGCCAGGCGCCATTGAGGTGGCAGGGAAAGCTCTCCAGCGCTGCTGCGTCGGCAGTGAACCATGGGTCACAAGCAGCGCAGGCGCCCTCGTCAGGGGGAGCGCCGGGCACTGGCATGCCGGGCGGTGTGATCGCGACTGCTGCGGCTGCGTTTTGCGGGCAGCCTGTTACGTAGCCTGCGCCGCGGTTGAGTGTCACAACTGCCATGACAAAAAGCTCCATGGTCCACACGGTTAGGTCGAAAGCGGCGACCTTTGGGAGGGGGTTTTGTGGCGGCATGGAAAGCAACAGGCGAAACATTATGGTGCTGGACTTTCAGTTCATGAAAGTTCTAAGACGGCGTTAGAAGACCTGTTTTAAGCTGCAGGATAGGCGACGGTAAAGTATGATGCCCTGCTGCATTCGGATAGCGCATCTGGATGGTCAACATGGATCGGCATTTGGCACTACCGGTATGCGACGGGAGGCCAAGCAAATCCTGTCCGCAAATCTACAAGAAAGGCTGCTCAGACGCCTGCAGCCCCGTTCTATCTTCAGTCCGTTCAGAACAGAAACCTGCGCTTCCATCCTCCGCTTATCGCTCCCACATCCTTCACAAAAATGTTACGCGGCGAGAAAGCCTGCTAGCCCTAGACATGACCAGTCGAGGCCGGCCGGTGACTCATCGTCGCGCGACAACTCTTTGCTGCACAAACCAGACGCATACCTGGCGAATGCACCAAGCTCGAAATGCGGCCTCCTCTCCGGTTGGAGTCCCTGGGCAGCAGTCGCCGCAAAAAGCGCAGAGAAGAAGGTTCGCTGGTGACCGATTGTTGGCCGCTGCCCATCAGTGCTTTGGCTTTGACCGCAGAAGAGTCGCTCACGTCGCAAAACG